TAAGGCCTAAGGGGGGGTTGGTCAGCCTCTGGTACCTTGAGCCGCCCAGCGCTGCTTCAGCCGGCGTCCATTGCACTTCAATCCAGGACCGGCAAGGCCCTCGAGGGACCGGGACTACCCGAGGCCGTCGAATGTCTAGGACCGGCAAGGCCCTCGAGGGTCCGGTACCAGATTAGATGATGCATAAAGAAAACATCTTTTAGTGAAATGTGTGACTGACGGAGTAAAGACAGGAAGCACCATGGAGGGAGAGCTAGAGACATAGACCCTGTTTAGGTCTTGATGCTTCTCCTTTAACGCCATCATCTTCATCATTCAGAACCACAGCAGGAACCAGTGGAGAACCAGTTAGAACTACTGGGCAGCACATTCATTTCCATTATCAGAGCTGTCAATTATTCATGTATTTATTCAGGTGAAGGTGCAGGCCGCTCTAATACTGGGCTACATTTCTATAAAGTTAGATATGGACCCGGGAAGCTGCATCTTTAGAGGTTGTAGGTGGTTTAATAAGGCAGGAGGCGTAGCAGCAGGATCCCATGTTTATTACTTTAGAATTTAACAGGTCAGACATATGATTTCTTATCATTTATTTACATAATTTGCAACTAACGATTAATCTGCAAATCGAAAAATCTGTCAAATATATCTTCCATTAATCGATTACTAATCAGATAGCTACAGGTTCTTTAAAGAAGACCAGGTAAAACTAAAACTTTTCCACTTGAGGAGTTCTGGATTACAGAGCAAATTGGCAGATGGAAATAATTTTGATCTTAAATGCAAAATGTTTATATATTTTTTTACACTATTGGTATAATTGCTGCTCTAAGTGGATCCGTCAGCTAAAGGAATGTCTCTGTACTCCAATTAACGATTATTAAATTAGTGATTAATGATTATTTCAATAACCGATTAATTTGATTAATTGTTTCAGCAGTAATATAATTGTTATCAATACTATTATTGTGGAACAAAGGAAGTGAGACAAGAAATAGCGCCATCATCAGGATACCTGCTAGTTCTCATAGCATCCAGCAGATGGCGCCATTCTAAACCATCAGACTGGAGCTTGACGTTGGGTTTTAGCCAGTCTAGTCAAAGTGGTTCCTTGGTTCCTTTTGAAATGACATCACTAGAGGTTTCCGGGTCAGGCGCTCCAGACAGCAGAGAAAACGGCGCTTTGCCTCCAGCATCAGAACGATGCAACACGCCATCATGGTAGATTCAGGGTGGAGCTTAGTGACCAATCTTAACCTCCAGGGGAGAAAAATGTCTGTATTAAAAAGGGGAACCTGTGCCTGCAGCGCCACCCAGTGGTGGATCCCATCCAGAGAAAGGGTGAAATAGTGTCTGGAAGAGACGGTGCTGAGGCTGTTGTCTGATGTTCTAACCAATGTTTTCTAGAACCTGTTTGTTGTGGTTCTCTGTTCTCCAGGCTTCACTAAGCTGCCATTTAAATGGTTTGACTACCTCAGAGAAACGGGCTCAGTGGCTGCTCCTGTCAGACTCTTTAACAAGGTTAGACTCTCTCATTAAAACACTTCTTCTTCTTTTCCTTCCTTCTTTCTTTCTTTTCTTCTTTTTCTTCAGCTTTTTTCTTTTTCTTCCTTCTTTCTCCTTTCGTCTCTTTCTTCTTCTTCTGTGGGCTGTGTCCATCAGTTCCTCGCTTGCCTTGCAGGAAGTTCCCAATCATGGTTTCCGGATAGGCATGAAGCTGGAGGCCGTGGATTTGATGGAGCCACGGCTGGTGTGTGTTGCCACGGTGACCAGGATCGTGCACCGGCTACTGAGGATCCACTTTGACGGCTGGGAGGATGAGTATGACCAGTGGGTGGACTGCGAGTCTCCGGACCTGTACCCGGTGGGCTGGTGTCAGCTGACGGGCTACCAGCTGCAGCCGCCGGCCTCTCAGGGTAAGAACACCACCAGGAGATGCACTCCCCACTGATCCAGGACCATCTCAGATCTCAGTCAGGTTCTGTTCATGAACACAGGATCTTAACGATGAGTTTGAGTCGTTCTTTAAGAAAAACTTTGCTTTCAGGTCACAGAGACGCGCCGCTGTCCGTCCCCAAGCAGAAGAAGAAGACTGCTCAGTACAAAGGACAGAAGAAAAGTCAGTGAGCCTCCATCTTCCTCCTCTTCTTGTCTCTCCTCTTCCCATCTCTCCTCTTCTTGTCTCTCCTCTTCCTGTCTCTCCTCTTCCCGTCTCCCCTCTTCCTGTCTGGAACCTGCTGGATCAAACCGGTTCTGTCCCATTGGACGCCGTAGACAGAGAGCAGCTGAAGGTCTCTGCGTTCTCCACTAGTGAGGAGTTTTTCTCTCTTGGAGATCAAGGTGGCGTCGTTTACTCTTCTTTGCCCGTAGCGCCTGAGAACAGCTGTGATTGGTGGGCGGGGGCGGGTATGGTTCAGCAGGAGGAGCTGAGATGTTCCCCTCTAGTGTTTTTGGGTGGCGCTTTAGCTAGAGACTGTCCCAGAACCAGAACTGAGCTTTGGACCTGTTTGGTTCAGTCAGACGGCGTCTGAAGCCGTGGGAGGTGATGGGCCTCTCCTTCTGTTGGACCTTGTAGGTTCCCCTCATCAGGAGGATGATGGTCCAACTAGAAGTGTCTATGTCCAGAAGGTCTGTTGAACGGAAACGTTCAAAGAGAAACCATCTGGACCTGGTCCCGGTGTCTCAGCGGTGGTTCTGTTTTGGCTCCCAGAACCTGGAATAGCCTTAGATGTTGTGCTGTAGGACATCCGGGTCGGAACCGCCCAGATGGGTCCAGCTTACCAGGGGCCGGTTCAGACAGGTTTGGTTCTTGGTTGTGGTGGGGGCTTTAAACTTCTACTTTCCTCTTGGTTCCACTTGAACGTCTTCTCTGACCCAATGAGCCCCTGGTAGCTGACCCAGTTCTGGCCTGGTGTTTAGAGAGGAGGATCCTGATTGGTGGACGGTCAGGCAGGAGGAGGAGGAGGAGCTTCTCAGGAGATGAAGAGCAGAGTCCACCCAGTTACCATGTCCAGGGGCCCGCGGGGCCCCGGGCCGGCCTCCACCAACCAGGTAACCCCGCCGTCTGGTGCCGGGCGGGGACGTGGAGCACCGACGACCCGCGGAAGAGACGCCCTGCTGGTGGAGGAGGTTCTGAGGCGCTAACGTTCTGCTGTCCCCCTGCAGAGTCTCTGCTGAGGACCAAGGAGGACTTGATGGCCGACGTGGACGAGCTGACTTTCGCCCACGGAACCTCCGACCAGGAGAGCAACGGGTCGGGCAGCTACTACATCAAGCAGGAGCCGTGAGGCGACCCGGTCCAGGAGGAGGTCCGACCATCTGCCACCACACTGAGAAGCATTTAATGAGCCAGTTCTGCTCCGGCCCGGTTTGGGCCTCAGAGCCTGAGGAGAACCTTCTGCTTCTCTGCTCCAGAACCTTCTGGGCGGACCGTGGACCTTTGGTTTGTTTATAGTACTTGAAGCTTGGATTGGACTTTCTGCTGTTTTTGTCTTTGTTGCATTAATGTTGGGATCCAGAACTCGGTGGTTCTGGTCCCAGTCCCAGGTGTACATAGGACCGGTTCCGAGAGCTCAGCTTCACCCCTTGTTTTCAGGTCCGGTTCCCTCAGCATTAATACAGAACTTGCTCTGACACAAATTCAGGCCCAGCTGCTTTCCCTCCAGAACTCCTTCTTGTTTCCATGACGACCGGCGCCGGTTCAGGGAAACGCATCATTTTGATCGCGAAAGGTTCTGAATCAGCTGCTGGGATCAGACACCTGGAAACCGGGCCGCTTCTCCGGATCAGGACCATTTCTGCTGCTTTAGGCAGCATTCAGCATAGATCTATAATAACCAGATGTTTACGCTGTTTCTCTACTACCTCGTGATGCCAGCAGCTCATGGATCAACCAATCATCTGTCGCCTTTTATGCAACGATTCCTGATCCTGACTGACCAGAACCAAACATGGACCCGTTTCAGAGTTATGCAATAACAGAGCAAATCTATTTAGAAATATCCTTTATCCCTGCATTGTAGAACTCTAACCAATAGATCTAGCTGTGATTGTTCTGTTCGAGTCCGGAACCGGCGCCACTCTTTCCTGCTGAGAAATCGAAGATGTTTATATTTGTGACATTTTTTGGTGAGAAAATATATTTCAGATTCTGATTTGTCGGATCTAGTTTTTTATTTGGACCAAGTTTCTGATTCAGAGGAAGAACCTTTCCAGCAGCTTCAGCTTCTGATAAATGTTTTCTATAGTCCTTCCAACAACCTTCAGAACATCGACTGTTAATCCAAAGGAAGATTCCTCAGTCCAGAACCAGATGCAATGATACTTTTTAGCAATAATTTAAAGAGGTTGAAACAAATAAAATGAATTAGTGGTCAAAAAAAAAAATCTGTAAAGGACAAAAAATTGAGTTTATGTTGATTAACTTCCTTCCTCAGGTCTACTTTGAATTTTTGTGTTTTTCATGGTTCCTGCTTCTTCTGTTTGATGCTAAACGTCTTCAGTTGATCAACAAAAACAGAATGGCTCAACTTCCTGTTGGAAGTGGCTCAACTTCCTGTTGGAAGTGGCTCAACTTCCTGTTGGAAGTGGCTCAACTTCCTGTTGGAAGTGGCTCAACTTCCTGTTGGAAGGGGCTCAACTTCCTGTTGGAAGGGGCTCAACTTCCTGTTGGAGTGGGATCACTTCCTGTTGGAATGGAAGGACTTCCTGTTGGTGGGGATCACTTCCTGTTTGAGACTTTAGAGCATTGTTGGGTGCATCAGAACTGCTTCCTCCCCAGGATCTGATTTTCATCCCTCCTTTATTTGGTTCCCTCCAGCTTGGAGTTTATTTTAGCCACTCAGAACCGGTTTGGACCCGCTTTGCCACGCCCACCTCGGCTGAATGTAGAAGGTTCTGGACCCATTTATTCAGACCAACCAAGAACTGAAAACGAGATGTTTTGGTTTGAGCCGGTCAGAATCAGAACCTTTGTGACGCTTCTGCATCTTAAAGCTTTTATTGTTGAACATTTATTATTAGGAGCTAAATTCAGACGGAAACGGGTTTTATTTTGATTTTAAGGCGATTCGTTTCCTCGGCTGGTTTTTCGTTCCCCCTCCCAGATACTAACACGGGTCTTTTGTAGGTAATAGCCCTCAAATGAAATCATGATATGATGGTGCTATATTTACATATATATATATACCTATATATATATTTATATTTGATAAGAATGACTTATTGTGTTGTTATTGTCAGAAGATAATTGTTAATTGTTGAGTTTTCAAATAATGGGACTAATGGGAGTAAAAATCTATTTTGGATACAAATAAAAAAGTGGTAATTTAGTGCTGTGATGAACCTTTGATAGACTTTGTAAATAAAACTATTGTTGGACCAACTTTAATAGATGGTTTCTGTTTTCCTCGTGTTACAAGATGTTCTCCGCATGGCTGTGAAAGTTCATCTGGTGGTTTTTGTAACTTTTACACTGAATAAAGAGCTTATTGCATCCAGTGCTGGAAACCCTGCTTTTCTCTTTACTTCTGCATAAAAGTAAAGGGGGGGGATGGGGGCAGAGGAAGACTCAGGTGGAGGCCCAGAGGAAGACCTGGGGGGAGGTCAAGAGGGAGGCCCAGGGGGAGTATTGGGAGGCCCAGAGGAAGACCCAGGGGTAGGTCAAGAGGGAGGCGCAGGGGAGGGCCAGAGGACGACCCAGGGGGAGGCTAAGAGGAAGACCCGGGGGGAGGCCAAGAGGGAGACTCAGGGGGAGGCTCAGAGGGAGACCCAGAGGAAGACCCAGGGGTAGGTCAAGAGGGAGGCGCAGGGGAGGGCCAGAGGAAGACCCAGGNAGACCCAGGGGTAGGTCAAGAGGGAGGCGCAGGGGAGGGCCAGAGGAAGACCCAGGGGGAGGCCAAGAGGGAGACCCAGAGGAAGACCCAGGGGGAGGCCCAGAGGGAGATCCAGAGGAAGACCCAGGGGTAGGTCAAGAGGGAGGCGCAGGGGAGGGCCAGAGGAAGACCCAGGGGGAGGCCAAGAGGGAGACCCAAGGGGAGACCCAGGACAGGCTGAAGGGACTGTTTCTGGACTGACCTGGGAGCGCCTTAGGATTCCCCCGGAGGAGCTGGAGAGAGGGAGGTCTGGGCCTCCCTACTGAAGATGCGACCCCGGATAAGAGGAAGAAGATGGATGGATGGTCCCTCTGTCCATCCACATCTTCCATAAAAGTTAGTTTCTCCTCCATAGCTGTGGTCCAATCGGGTCCGTTATGGACCTGTTGGGATTTTTTACCCACCAATAGGAAAATATTCTTCATATAATTGTGTTGAAATGGTTTCTCACTGCCTGATCTTCAGCCCAATAGAAAGGCCGCCATTATTTTCACCAAACAGCAGAAACTTGCTTTTTATTCACCAACATCATGTTTCCCTTTTTTGGAGCTAAACTCTAAAAGCTGATTATATTTTTCCATCCAAACTCGTTCCATGTTGGAATACTGAGGTTGTGAGTTCAACACCCATAGCCTGCCATGCTGACTCTCTGAGCCAGACCCCACACTGCTCCCTGGGTGCCGCACAATGGCAGCCCACTGCTCCCCAAGGGATGAGTTAAATGCAGAGGGTAAATTTCTCCATTGTGAAATCTATAAAGTTCATATTGTTGTAAAATATTTCTCCATCTACGTTGCCGAGTTACTCTGAGCTTCTGCATGGCCTGCTCTATCTCAGACCTGTTCCAACCACCAAGAAGAGTCTGATATATTTCTAAGGCCCTGAAATCGTCTGTCCTCCTCTAACAGAGATCACTTTACTTTATTTACCCTTTTTCTGTCCACTCCTTAAATATAACATCCATTCTGTTGGGTTGAAAATCCAAGTTATAACCTATTTTAACTCCAGATCCTAAAAGGTTCCTTAACTTGTTTTCATTTATTATCCTGTGCCAGGTTTTGATTGGTAGCTGCTCCTTTAATTGGCTGAATGACCCTGATTGCTATTATTGCTTGTAACCAGACACCACTGGTTGTCTGACTTTCTTTCCTCTTTAGCTTAAAAGATGGATTATAGATGTCGATCTGTTTCTGTGCTGCTTGAGAACAATTTTCCATTTTGGATCAGGTCTCTCAGTATCAAGTTACACGGTAAATCACAGT